AATACTTCTTTCCTTTGTCTTTGCAGGCTTTTGCAAGCTCTTTTGTATGATCTTGGAGAGCAGTGCTCCATAGAAGGGGGTTGTCATGACACACTTCCCTCCTGTCTGACTGAAGTGTCTGGCTTTCTCCTTTTCTTTATTGGGGACTGCTGAGCATGCATGAGTGCGCACTCACGCTCACCTAGTATCACCTCTGCCATTCGTCCCTCCTGTTTGCCCCCACCTCATCCTGTCTCATTCACACAGTCCCCCAACACGTACGGACAACCGAGCAAACACCTCAAAGGCACTTTGTGACTTTGACTCCTTGCTGTGGACTTTAAATACACTTCAAAGGGTGTGGGCTAAACTTTTATCTGGCTCCTTCAAATTCTCTAAACTAGTTTCTACTCATCCTTTCTCATCTTAGAATCTCAAGGCTGGTACTCTTACTTAAAGAGCCTGTCCTCCCTATTTCTTTCTTTTTTTTTTACTTGCAAACATGTGCTGCTCCTTTGAGGATCTGTAAGCTGACCCTAGAGTAGCTGAGTTTTTTTTTTTTTTTTTGTCCTGACAAAACTCACATTCTAAAGCTTCAAATCGACGTATTTTTACTGCAGCAATAAAGCAGCAGCTCATATTTTCCAAATCCAGCATGTTCAGTGTTTATGAATAAAACAATGCTAGCTCTGTCCATGGTTTTATAGAACCATGTAACTCCCTGTGAGCCTGAGACATTGATGCTGATGGACACTTACAGCCATGAAATCATGTTATGTTGTGCCAACGCTCAAACGGATGACATCATATCCTTTGCACGGGGTCCTCCAAGACCTCCACTTCCTTGTGTTGTGCAAATACATGTGGTAATATCACAGGTAGTTAAGAATCTAGTGCACGGCAGAGCACTCCCAGGTGCATACAGCGTGACACACAATATAAAAAGGAAAGCTTCTAAAAAATCTTCAAATGCTGCAGACTGCCTTTTCTTTAAAACAGGAAGGTGTTTTTCTCATTTTCTGTTTTTATTGTATATCCTTTTGCTGTGCTTGAAAGATATTAGTTAATCAAATAAGTCGAGACTAAAACAGCTCTTAGACCTTTTATTATTCTGAGGACTAAACTGCTTTCATTTAGGTTTTTGTTAAACATATATTTCAGATAAGAACTTGTCTTTCTTTGTTGACCCCTGCCAAATGTGAAGAGTTTTCCTTTGGCTTATCTTTGCCGTCTTTGACTACGCATTGAAAAGATCAGATTGAATAATAACGATAATCGAGGTTATCTTCATATTAGGATTTACATCCAGGTTAAAAATTCAGAAAAAGGCGATTTTCTTGTTTAATATAATTTCTCCTTAAGTGTTAAAGATGATAAAAATAAATAGTGGCATGGACTCTTTCCTTCAGATGCACTCCTGCTTTTGATATTTGTTTCTTTTTTTATGTTTTATTCTCCGATGTTTGATCTTTGGCACATTTGATGTAATTTATCATTATTTATTTTTTTTGACATTTTACTTTAACAAAGTACATTTTCAAATAAAAGTACAGATTTATTTAATCACATTCAGATTTTTTTATTTGCTTTAACAGTTTTTTGAAAGGATTAACGTCCTCTAATAGTATTGTATTATCTTTTTAGTGATGCATCATCATTGCATAACATAAATTTGAATAATATTTATAAAAGTTTAAGATGAATTACCTTAAAATTGTATTAAATACATGTTTATAATGGTATTTTTAATTTTCATGTTTTACTGCTATATTTAATATGATCAGTGTGTGATCCTTAGTTGCAATAGAAACATATTTAATTTCGAACACTTGAGTGATTGTATTTTTTTTTTTTTGCATGTTAACATGTATTCATTATATTACTGTGCTAATAGAGGCGCTGCTGGTCCAAGAGCAGCTGTATTCTGCAGGTTTGACTGGTTTTATTAACGGCTTGAATAATGACCCCCCCTTTAGCTGCCAACTTAGAGGCAAAGAGACGCACTCTGCCTGGTTACAGACCTCAGCCAACGAGAAAAGAAAACCTGCCCAAATCCTCTTCGCTCTCTTACTTTGCTTTTCCCTCACTTGTTCTCCCTTTCTTTCACTTTTTTCCTTTGCTCCGCTTTAACCCATCTTATACTTCCTGCTCCTTCTTATACGCATTCAGTTTTTTTTTGTTTTTTTTTAGATCCTATTCATTCTTACTTTGGGAAATATAAACAATATCAAAGTCACGTTTACTCGCAGAATTTCTGGAAGTGTCAAATAGCTAATTTACGGCTATTTGTAATTATAGTGAATGTTTACAACATTCTCTTTTTGAGAGGCACTCTTAAATTATTATGGTTGTTTTCCTGCATCTATTTTTCTCAGATGAATTTTGCAAACTTAAGCCGTATCAGTGCCCCACCGCCCCACCGCCATATTCCCTTTTTTTTGCAGACATCTTTTTTCTTTTCCCTCCAACCTAGCTACACAATCAGCCAATAAAAACTCACTCCGGTTGGCCTGATTTCTTATTGGTTACCCAGATCAATGAAACACTACCTATTGGCTGTAGTAAAAATTCTTTTTCAGCAGAGATAAGCAGTTTTGAAGATTTTGAGAACAAATACTACTTTTGATGGGGAGGCTTTGAAAATGTACTAAGGGCTCATCACAAGTACTGAACGGACAAGAAAACTATTTCTGTGAGTGGTTGTATAAAAAAAAACAAAACACACACACTAAAATCATCAACTTAAAACCGCATTTCTGTGAGTCTGTTCCTGTGACTACTTGTAGGGTTATAACATTAACCTTTAACAAATGCACTAAACCTTAAGCATTAATTTTTGCAGTCCTTTCAAAGATACTGAACTGCCATTATCTGAATGTGTAAGCATGTCTATGTCCCAACAAAATGAATAATGAGAGTTCACACATGCGTGCCGCCCTGTTCAGGCCCCAGAATGAATAATTTAGCACTTCGACTCAGTGGTGACTCCGGAGGCACATGACAGTTTGTCTGCATTTGTTATATTTGGTGCATTTTGGTCCAAACATTCATTGTCTCTGAGCATATTGATTGCTAATAAGCAGTTTTTGCCGTTGGTTACAATTGTCTATTTTTCTAGCCGTTCCCTGATCATCACAGCTGGATTCATTTCACCAATCTTTGCACAAACAAGCCGTTTGTTTATTTCAGTCGTGTTGCCACATGTATCATTAGAGTGCAGGTGAGCGTGTGCTGCATGAAAATTGTATTTCATGTTTATTTTATGCCTGAGCAGACATTTTAGAACAGGAGGTGTGGATTTAACTTTCACTTGAGGAGTAACAAATGAGACGCTAAAAACAGAGAAGGTTGTTATTCCAAGTTTTTAAAAAAAGACGTTTCCTTTAGGAAAGCACAGCGGCCTGCATGTTTGTTTGCAACTTGTATGTTTTTAACCTCAATTGAGGCAGGGAGCAGTGTTTACATGTGTACTTAGTTCACACAGTGAGCCTCGGTCCTTGTGCGTCCCCCCAATGTGTCTCCATGCTGGTTGGTATATGTGATTCCTATGGAGACAACCACAGGGCTCAGTGATCTTAACACCAACTGTAAACTTGTTTTCTCTTTAGCCTTGGACATGACATTTACCTTTATGCCTCCCTGGCGGCTTTCTTGAATATCATACCCCTCTTATCTTGCATGCTTTGAGTAAGTGTGTGTGTGTGTGTGTGTAAGTATGAGCATAAGCCTGTATTTGTGTGTTTGCGGCTTTCCCTTGAAAAGCTATGAATCTGCATCAGTGTCTTTACACCTGCGTTGTCTTTTTAAAAGCCTCCAGATAGTTTTATGAGCAGGAAAGCTTGTTGAACGTTGTGTCAGCAGGTTGAGATTTTAACTTGGGGATTAATCTAAACCTTTCTTTATAAGGCATTCAGATGGGAAAGTGGGATTATCGGAAGTGGGAGGGATCAAAGGAAGATGAAAAGCGAATGCTCATATTGGCCAATAACCCCTCACACCAGGCGCGCTGGTGCAGAATGGTAAACAGGAACAACAAACAATTCTGTAGCACTTATCAGGCTTGTTTGGTTTTGTTCTGTATTTGCTTTGTTGTATTTGCAGCAGCATGTGGTAGAACACACATTTACTCTGCACACAGAAATGGATTCATTTCATTCTTGCAGATACATCAGGAATATTCATTTTGCCTAGCAGAATGTAAGGGTTGTATGCTTTTATTAGATTTCCTCTATAGCAGAGGTCTTCCTTCCTGATCCCCAGATGCACTTTCCTGCATGTATTAAGAACTTTTCTGCCTCCACACACCTATCTTAACTGGATGGACGATTACCAAGCCTCTGCAGGGTAAGTCAAGGCAAATTTATTTGTATAACACAATTCAGTACAAAGACAATGCAAAGTCTACATGATTAAAATATAGGAAAATAAAACAAAATCAAAGCAAGTAGACACACTTGATGGCTACTAAGGAGGTAATGCAGTCAATTGATCCAGGTGTATTTGGGCGTAGGTACATCTAAAACCTGTGTGGTACTTACTGGGCCCAGAGGACCAGCAATGAAGACCTTTCATCAGTAGAAGGACTGGAAATTGAATCAAATTTCAATTTGATTTGAGATTCAAAATCAGATCTTTTCTATCCGACCCAATTCAATCTCCAATTTAAATATTGGGCTCATAAACCTTTTTAGCTATTAGTTAAACAGGACCGTAACATTGGAACAAGCATTACATCAATATTTAGCAGCAGAAATAACTTATAGCTTTTAACTTTTACCTTTTTAGCAGACGTAAGGACAGTGGATAATACATTTTTAGAAATTATTAAGATTTTATTCAGAAATTTAGTTTTTTGTTTTTTAACAAAGCCATAGTCAGTCCAAAATAGCAACAGCCTGGTCTGTTGTTTACTAGAGGAAAGGTATGATGTACATTTTCATAGAGAACAATTTGCCATAAATGTTTTAGAGAATTTTTGATGAAGTGCTTATCTATAATATTGTATTGCTCGTCTTTTATAGCTGCAAAACCTGAGTGTCCTGGATCTGCGGCACATCTCGGAACTGAACAACGAAACAGTGATGGAAGTGGTGAGGAAATGTCGGAAGCTCAGCTCTCTAAACCTGTGCCTCAACTGGAGCATCAATGACAGGTAGGTGCAGTTTTTTTTTTTTTTTAATAATGGCCAAATGATACAACAGACTTACTATATTTAGTTCACTTCAATTTTCATTTGATTCACTTCAATATAGTTTGTTGTGGTTTAAGGCTTTATATTGCTTTTTCTCTATTTCCTTTTTTGTATTGTGGTTAGTGCTAAGAAAAATCTAAATAAAATTGCAATATTGATTAAAAATAATCCCAATTTTGATTTGTGGCAAAATCATTGAGCCCTAGTTAAACCCTGATTTAGATGCACCTGTTTTTTATTTTATTTTATTTTATTTTTTTGGAGGAATGGGACAAAATTCCGGCAAAATAGTGTTAGAAGCTTGTGTAAAGCTATCCAAAGTTTTTCAACCAAGTTGTGCAGTTAAAAATACAAGTATATAAGGTAGCCAAAAAATGCAAGTAAACCAATCATTCGGGTAAAAAAAAAAAGAAGAAAAAAATGTAATGACCTAAATCAGGAAATTATTAGACTGGCTTAATACGAGTTAATGAGAGAAAAATATTATGAACCTTTTCTACCTTGTAAGTTTATAAATATGTGGTTTTAGTTATATTTTCTTAAACATTGACAAATACTCAAATAGATATAAATACATAGTTATGAACAGGAAAAAAAGCACCTATTTCACTTAACCTAAACCTTGGAGACGTCAGAGAGGACATTTTCTTTCAGAGATGTGCAAACTGTCAGTTTGTCTCCCAAAGAAATAGGAGGAAATAAAGAAAATGGGTTTATTTGCCACAGAGTTTAAGAGGTCATCAGTTAATCTGTGTCGCTGCTGTTTGTTACCTAAGCACACACACTTGCACACACTCTAGTTGCTTGCTTGTTGTCAATGAAGATCAGAAAGACTCAACCCTAGCTCACGTTTGCTCTCAAAGGGTAGAGCTGGGTCAGCTTGTGTCTGCCTCAAACTGATGGCAGTGTGCTGCACACAGGTAAACAAGCAGAGGAAATGACCCCTTATTTTCAAGACCAATTTGTCCCCCAACTAGAAGCTATTGACGATATAGAGCTCAGCAGGAGGTAAAGCACATCAGCTGTTTCTTTTTACCCTTTATTTAAACACTGAAATAAAAAAATTAAAGTATTGTCCTCAGAGGTTCACGATTGTCTCTTGAATAGAGGAAAGCAGCATCCTAAAGTATGAAAGCAAGAAATAATGGCCAAACACCAACTTTCTATCGTCACAGTCTGATGGGTAGGCAATTGACAGTGGGACGCCAAATTTTTTTGGTCGCTGTCATTTCTTGGGGAGAGAAGAAGCGATGTCCTGCAGGTGGGCAGTGATGGTGCTGTTATTTCTCCGTTTCTTCTTCCAGAGATGATGAGACACCAAAGTGGGATTGTGTTTTTCAAATCTCATATTGTTCAGAAAATGGGGAGCGATTCATGATCACAGGGTAATGTGTGGCAAATGGCTGTGCAAGCTTTTTAGAAACTCACAACAACAAAGTTGAACAGTTTACCTCAATTTACCTTTTGGCCAATCTTTATCTATTCCTGTCCTTTCCATCCAGCTGAATGCTGCCTTTCCTTTTGCAAAACTGCCCAATATGCAACAGTTATTATTAAAATTTGTGTAAATTCTGTTTATTTTTTTTTTAATGGAGAACTGTTATAGTGTGCATAATTAAAGGAAAGATTCCATGACTATTAGGAATGGAACGGTTTATGAAAACCGTCCGAACCGTTTGGTTTGACTGTCTCGGTTCAGTTCGCGTGTGTTGCTATCGGTTCATGCGCGGCTCCTTTTTCTCATAGGCGAAGCGTGTACACTCCAGAACAGAAGGTGGCGGTACTGCGACCAAAGCCAACCACCAGTAGTAAACAAGAAGAAGAAGCAAAGCAGCGTAGTCGGGTGTAGCAAAAAAAAAAAAAACTGTTTTGTGGAGAATTGTGTGGGTATGGCGAGTGGGAAAGAACAGGAGTTGGAAGTAGGGTGGCCAGATGTCTGGCTTTTGGGCCAACAGTCTGGATTTTCAATGCACTGTCCGGCGTCCGGCGCTGCATCCAGCCGGACGTGTATTTGTCCTCCTTTACCCCCAGATTCCACATACTCCGTCAGCGCTCCGCTCCGCTCACGTACGTCGTGTGGAGTACTTGTCTGTCATGTAAATCAATGAGAGCTGTTCCACATCCTCCGCTACTCCTCCGCTCGTCACCGCCCACGTACGTCTTCTCCGTCCTTCACTGTCAAAATACGAAGCTGAGCTATTTTTTGCTCCACTCCGGTCCGTCCAGATCAAGACCCGCAATTGCAATCGCACTAAACAGGAAAAAGAATGTAGAGAAGACCCGGTTTGTCAAATTAAATTATAGTAAAAACGGATTGGTGACTAGAAATTAGAGCATAATTCATAAATAATCCAAAAACGAAGAGCAATTAATTTAATAATTGGATGCAGACTATTGGTGCTTCAACAGACCAGGAAGAAGTTGTGAGAATCTAGAGCGCATCTCACAACGTTAAAAGAAAATTCTTATTGCAGGAATGGATGAAGAGATGATGAGTTTGGAAGCAGAGAATAAACATAGTTCATACAAACTATGTATGATCCTAGTTATCCCTGTTACAAAAATCCACAACAGAAAGAAAATATTTGGGCAGAAACTGAACATCTGCTGGATGATGATGGGGATTTTTTTAATATGTCAGATTAAATTAAGCATTCACAGGTTTTATGCAGGAATGAGGAACTCTAATTTAATGCTCTTTTAATGCTATTAGAAATAATTTTAATGCCATTAAACAAGTATCATGTACATAAGTTATTAGTTTACATGAAATAAGGAGCTGTAAGCACAGTTCCATGACTCAAGTTTGTATGTATATATATATATATATATATATAGATATATAGATAGATAGATAGAGAACATGGTGAAATCATCTTTACTCTCGACAGGCTGCAGCCATGTCACAAATTCCTCTTTTCCAGCCACTTTTTGAAATTTGTATCGTCCTATTCTCTAGCTCTTTCTCCGCCTCAAGCTTCTTTTCCAAACAACTGCTTTATGATCAATTGCAGCAGTTCTGCGCAAATTAATTGTGTCAAAAAAATTGTCACTTTTTAAACACCACAATGTATTAAATAAATACAAATGCTGGGAACCAATTCTTTTTTACTCTTTTCTTTTATGTCTTTAATATTTTGTTCTATTCAGCTACACAAGCATCATCTTTAAACTACTAAGAATTGTACTAGAAATGTGAATTTACCCGATTCTTATTTACACCTTAGTAATTTGTTGATATGCCGCACAATGTCCTCCTTTTTGGTGCTATAGAAATGGCCACCCTAGTTGGAAGACGCGCCAGCAGCACTTTATAGGTCTGCTGTATGGGACCACTTTGCATTTAGAGTGACCTACGATGACGGCGGAAAGAAAGTTGTGGATAAAAGTGCAACAGTGTGCAAGCATTGTGCAACACGCGTTGTACTTTACAAGACATAGATTTTCCTAACAATCAACATACCAAACCGAACCGAAAACCGTGACCACAAACCGTGAACTGAACCGAACCGTGGATTTTGTGAACCGTTCCACCCCTAATGACTATCTCAGTCATAATAAAAACAATCACTATGCAGTCAACTTTTTATTATCAGTCAAGAGCTCAAAGGTTAGATGAGCAATTATCTCTAAAAAAAAATGTAGAAACTGGACAAATCATTAGTTTTCCTACAAACAGAAACCAAAAAGCTTACATTTTTGTAAGAACATGATGAAGTCCACTAAAATCACATTGCTTCAGAATCAGTTTGATGGCAGCAGACTGTAACATCCGTTTCGGATACGTTGTTCAAAAGTTTATTTCTAACCTTTCAAATACATTTTTACTGAATTTGTTATTAGTATATCATATCAGTTCTATAAGCTCTTTATGTGGAAAGAGTACATCCTCCTTCCTGGTCAGCATATGTATGTAAACACAATGCAAATATCCTACCACATATACAGAGATTACATCGTTCTGTTGCAAAGTCCTAATTACAAATTACTTTAAACCTCCTTGTTTGTTTGTCAAGCATTAAAAAATGGCAATGAGAAAAGAATATACAAATACTGCTTCCATTGGCATGTTTTCAGGAATTATCCAATGAATTGGACATTTGAATTTAATGGTCAGGCCTGATTTTTGTGAGCTCAGGTTTTGTTCGATCAGTTCAAAGTGAGAAGCTTTTACTGCCACCTCTTGTGTCTCTTTCAATGGCTGATCTACGCACTGCTTTAGCCCAGAAACACAGAGAAGACTTTGATTTTTGTTTGCCCTTAGAATTTAATTGACCTTTTCTGACAGATTATGAAATATAAACTGGGTGTGGGAAGATGTCAAGGACTATGGTCGCTCTAAAAATGTCCTAACGATGGAAGAAGACAATTATACATTTTGTTCAGAATTTTGAATGGAAAGGATCATCATGTTGTGCTTACAGTGGAAAGTTTTTTGTGAAGATGCAGTCTCTTACTTGACCAATGAGAAATTGACGTTCACAAGGGTTATTACAGCACCTTATGGAATTTAGTTTTTTCCAGTTTCTATTGGTCTAGATCAGAGGTCTTCAACAGGGGGTCCGCGGAGGCACTGCATGGGGGTCGCGAAAGTCTTGGTTGATTACCTTTTTTTATATTCCCTCCTGCAATTTTTTGCACTACTTAAAATGTCTTTAAATACACATTAAAATGAATTCAACACACTGTAGTAAACAGATAAATGAAAGCAGAAGATGTCTTTCAGTCATCAATGCACACATTCAGCGACACACAGGAGCTCTTTGAAGCTGGGCACCGTTTCATTCACAACACCTGTCCCATCAACCAGGAATCAGAATCAGAAATACTTTAATAATCCCAGGGAGAAATGACTTTCATTACATGACTCCATCTGTAATAGAGTGACTATAGGACCAGTTTGATTTAACACAATTTCATACAATATATATAATTAGGGGGTCCCCGCTCCATCTCGCAAT